AAATAAATCACCCCTCTCTCGTTATGTTGCAAATTAATTTACATATTTATACTTAGTTGTTTACTTGAAAAACTAAATAGAAGGTAGACGAGGAATTGGGAGAAAATCCAATTGATCATATGCATCACTCAACTTAATTTAAGATATAATAAAAAAATAAACATTAATTATGAAAGCATAAATTTTAATTTGTATATATGTCACGATATAATCTTAAGTCGAGTTGATCCATTTTATTTTTTAATTTTATTTTTCAATAAAATGCATGAGATGAAATGTCGTATTTTTATGTGTAGTTTATTCGAGTATGATACTTCATTTATGAAATATGTATATTTTTGACAAAATATGACTTTTTTACTATTAACCTTTCGCAATGTCAGACTTAAGGGTTGGAAAATATATATAGTTAAGAAATTAATATTATTTCCAATGGAATGATAAGGATGTTAAATTAAGTACCATGCATGACCCCTTTAAGTACCTTTTTTTCTTTGTAGCTAATGAATGTTCATGATTAAAACTGAGGATACCTTGGAGAAAATAATTATAGTTGATTTTGTATAGTAACAAACTAATTGAAATTGTATAAATGCTAGAGTTTAAAAATCGTTCCTAGTGATTATCGAACAAATTATTTGTTCAAATTCTTTTATTATGCTACGTGGGGAAAAGGTCACCATGTTATTTTTACACAAACTGAGCAAATGTCAATTGATCAAGTACGTTCAATAAATACATAACTATTAATAAATACGCACACGGTTACATAAATTTAAATACACATCAAATTACGTGAAATATACAAACATATAATACATTGAAAATAAATCCATATAAAAGCGCTGAAAATAAATCCATATAAAAGCGCAATATATTTACACAGACACAATTATAAACTCAAAACTATTGCAACAAACTTCGGGCATTAATTAAAATCTAGAAGTTGAGTTTTATAAGTAATAGGACGAATCGTTAGATTATAAATGCAGTCGAGATTTGCACATATCCAACTAAAACACAATATTACTAAATTATAGTATATGTATTGTGAAAGTATATAAAATATATCAAGTGGTGGGAAACTTTCACCTCTATATTTTTTATGTCTTGTTTTGTATTTATATTTTATATTGTATCAATCATTTCCATTTTATAAAATTATTAGAAGTGCATTAAGTAAACATCATAAACTAACTTACAACTTTGTTGATTTATAAGTTTTATCTATTTAGTCAAGTTTAGTAGCTTCTCAAAAAAGTCCATTCAAATAAGGATATCAACTAATTTATCAATTAATTATGTGATGTAACGCGTGGTAGACAAATGAGAATAAAGAGATGAACTCTCGTAAAATTTTATAAAATTTGATGAACAATGAACGTCCTCTCTCAAGTGACATAAATATCACTTGTGAGTCGTTCCACATTGATTTGAGAGTGTAAATGAGTCTAGTTTATAAGGCTAGTGTGCTACTCTTCCCATCATCTATTGGTTTTGAGATAGAACCTATTATGATGCACTTAATTAAACTCACCCTCTTGTGGTGCGCCGGTGTGGGACTGCACTCATTTTGCCCCCGTTTAACACCTTTTCATACTTTAATACTTATCTTGCCTAACAAGATAGGCTAATTATTATTTAATTGCCAATACTAATCATATATTAATCGCGTTCTCGTCTCCATTATTATGTCAAACACTTCTATCATATATTTTTGCTTTTGAACCATTATAAATCGGCTAGAAATTCATTTATAAACTATCAGTTAACTTATCAGTTTTTACCTAATTTTTTATCAACTTTTACCAAATATGCCATGTATATTGCACGCACCTAAATTAAACCGTTAAACAAAATAATTCAGCTCGACTCTACTTATTAAGTTTCGAACTCGGTATTGAACGAACCAAGTTATAGCTGGTTCTAAATAAATCATTTTTTAATTTTCCCAAAAATCCCTATAAATAGGAGCCACTCTCACCTTGGACTTAATCACACACTTTACAAGAGTTAAAAAATAAATCATCCCTTTTTTATCGTTAAGCTTTAGATACACTGCCCGATCCTAATAATTTTCCGATCAAGCATGGAGGACGCCCTCAGGCGGCTCAACCGCAGCCTCGCCGCCGGCGCTGACACCGCCACCCTCCCACCACCCGCCGCCGCCGCCGGCAGGCGCCCTGGCCACGCACCCTCCAAGAGGCCCCTCCTCCGGGACGCCTCCTCCCCCTCCGCCGGCGCCACCCGCTATCGCGGCGTCCGCCGCCGCCCCTGGGGCCGTTACGCCGCCGAGATCAGGGACCCCCAGTCCAAGGAGCGCCGTTGGCTCGGCACCTTCGACACCGCCGAGGAGGCCGCCTGCGCCTACGACGCCGCCGCCCGCGCCATGCGCGGCGCGAAGGCTCGCACCAACTTCGTCTACGCCGCCGATCCCCCGCCGTTCCCCCGCGCCGGGAAGCCGCCATCCCAGCCGCCGGTCTGGTGCTCCCGCCACCCTTTCACCCCCAATTTCGAAAACCCAGTTCCTAATTTCGCGCCAAATCCCTCTAAAACCAGCGAACAAAATCCGCCGGACCTTTTTCCGACCAATTTCCTCCACTCCGGCCAGAACCCCTTCATGGGCCCCTCTAATTTGTCTTCAATTTTCTCGTCCAAGGCCGTCGTCGGCACGTCTCCCCTGAGCTCTGAAATTTACAGTCACGAGAAATCAAAACAGAGCTCAGTTAATCCCACAGTAGACGAAGCTGATTGCATGTCGGGCCTTTTCTGGCCCGATCAGAGACCCGGGTCGGGTCTTCTGCATGAAGTGATAAGTGGGTTTTTCCCTAATCCCACATCGGAGGTCAGGGCTGAGCCGCCGCCGCCACCACCTCCGCTGGTGGATACCAAGAATCAGGTTTTAGGGTTTTCGTCTGATTATTCGGATGCACGCAATTTATCCGGCCCGGAAAATGATATTCGGACTAATAATCCTTTGTTTGGGATTCAAGATGAGATTTTCTATTATCAGGAGCCCACTAATCTATATGCAGGCTACATGCAGTATGCTATATATATATATAAATATAGCTGTAGTTCTTATATATAAATATGAATATCCTAGACTTTATTAAAATCAAATGTAGTTTGTTTTATTTTGGTTAAATGGATGAATTTGCTATTTACTTTTATAATATGATGTTATTTAAAGTCATTGTGCTTATTGTCTGATCAATATATACACATGTTATGTATGTTTAATCTAACGATTTGAACTCCGTTCATATTAACGAGCCGTGTGTATATGTATAATCTGACGGTTAAATCTCATCGGTAGAGATTAAAAATCATTAAAATGAATGAATAGTTTAAGTGTATTGTGAAATGAGAAGATGGGGAAAAAGTTCTTAATTTTTCAGGATTTGCCTTTTGAGGGCTATTTTTTGAGTTGACCTCTAAAGAGGAAAAGCTGTTATTCTCCAGCCTTTGTGCTCCTTGTATATATGAAAAGTTTTGCAGTCAATAGCAATATTGGCTTATATATATTTTTATATAATTTTGAATTATATTTATTTTATATGCATGCTCATATATTTCCCACCATAAAAAACTGTAGCTGCAAGTTCCCACGTCCAAAGGAAAGTAAGAAAAAGACAGTATTTCAAATCAACAAATTTAAATTTGTCAGTAAAGGATAAAATATATATTATCATTTTTCTGTATCTTCATGATTAAAAACAACTTATTCTATTTTAAAATAAACGTCATTTTACATCATCAAAAGAAAACAATTAACAAGTCATAGTATTTGGTAAATATAAATTTCGTTAAACATTATATATAAATATAAATATATTATCATTTTGTTTTATATCATATATTTATGTATCTATTTTCATAAAATACGTAATAGAATCAAGATTCTCTTAAGAACTTTACAATAATAGCTACTTGGCAAAATAGTCTAATTCAAAACAAAAATTTAACCTAAAATGATATTTGAAACAAATCGGATGTAGACATGTAGTAATGCTTATATCTCAGTATTAGTTAACATAATTATTTTTTCATTTTATATGGTAATTAAGTGAGAAAATATATATTGGACGTGGAGATTAATTGTAATATTTTAGACACAATTGTCAGATCTACGTACAAAGGCTTTGTGAAAATTCTGCCATTAATCTTGTCTGATCTAAATTCAGATAATTAAGTAACTTTTATATGTTTCCAACTTTTAATAATACAATTGTACGTACAAACGTAGGCTCTCTTTAATAATTCGTAGCAATTAATTAAGGTAGCAACATTATTGTACTTTAATAATTTGAGTATAATGCTAGTGAAGCTCATAATCCCACGTGGCAGCTAGGCTGATTTACACGTCAAAAAGTTGCACTCGTTGAGGTATAATTAGCTACAAATTTGTGGAGGTATAATTAATTAACACTAATTGTGGATGTTCGTTTTTTATTTTTTAAGAAAAAAATAGCAAATAGAGAAAAAATATTTTCTTTTAAATACACTATTACGCTTTATGGTGTATATCTACTTTTGAAATTATATTAAATTAAATATATGTAGGTAAAAAAGAAGCCGGAGTGTTTTTTCCTTAACATTGGAAAAAATCATGTAATGTCTGTTTGTGTAATGTAATTTAGCCTGCAATGTTTGAAGAATGTACGTGGGCTTATTGGATGAACACTGAACACATATGAAAGATAAATTGGACCAGTGACAATGACCAAAGGCCTACAAGCCCAAATATACCCGGTCCCTTAAATAGAAAAAATNAAAAAAAAATACTACAAGTACATAATAAATGTATATAGAATGTAAGTGTTGTGTACACCTCTATATACAATATTATGTACCCATAACATTTATCTTGAAAAAATAGTTTATATAATAAAATTGTTTAATGAAATTAGTCGATGAGTTAGTTGCAAAAAAACTTTCATTAGGTACTTTTATTACCTAGAGAAATATTTTCGATAAGCTCGAGTTTTTTTTTTTAAAGCTCATTTTACTAAATCAAATGTAAAAAGTTTACAAACTAAATTAATAAGATATAACCTAATTTATAATACTTACTAAATACAATGTAGTAAATCTAGTAACTATTACAATTCTAGCTCATGATGCTCATTTAATTTGCATAAAATATTGAGTGACGCACTTATTCCTTCATTTTTCACCTTTTTTTTCCTCCTTTTTTTGTTCCTTACTATCCAATAATTCATAAATATGATCTTTAAGGCCAAGGTGTCATGCAGAACCAAAACAAATTACTAAAACTTTTCTTTTATAATTTATTGGGAGTGGGTGGGTATTTGTAAGCGATAATGACCTTCAACAAAAACTCGGTTTGTTCAATAATGAAAAATGCGGATGGGAATTGGGACCCTCCAAAATTGTCTTTTTAAGAAAAAAAAATTATTCCATTAATCAATCAAAATATAGGAAATAAGAGGCTAGCTAGCTCAAGCATAGTCGGATTGGAAATTTAAAGACGAAAATTTGGAAATTTAAAATTTCGTCAAAAAATTAGTGGAACACGTACGCACGCATGACATTAGTTTGCGACTTAAAATTTTGATTGGAAAATTAACATGTCTAGCATTTATCCCATTAAATATTTTTGTCAAATTTACTTTTTCACAAAATTGTTCTAAAATTGATCAATTTTAAATATTTCGAGGCAAAATTGTCCATAAATTGTTAAAAAGCTAAAAATAAATGCGCCAAAGCTAAAGACAAATGGGATTCCCGTTGATTTTGTTGGTTGTGTATTGACTACAGTGGTTGAAAGTTTTGTAATATAGAGAGGATAAGATAAGGCTATGGCCTATATATGTCTAAACTTTCCTACGTCTAAATCTAAACTTTCACAATGCATGTGTCGACAAATTAACGTGTGACAAACTATGATGAAATAAATATCACAAAACAATTTCCTACAATTTATTATGTTTGACAATGAAGAAAATTAAAAACGCTTATGTAATGGTGTTATTTCAACATACTAATTACATATTTTCTACTCTCTTAATTTATTTTTTTATTTCCGTTTTAGGTTTGGTATTTTGTATTATTTGTCTTTTTTTATACAAAATCTTTCAATACATGATATACACAATCTTATATTATAAAAAATAAATAAATTAATTATATAATAAATAATTAAAACATGATAAGAGAATATAATCATTTAAAAACAAATATCTAAATGTAAGATTTAGAATAATTAGCAAAAGGCAAAACATACTAAAGTTTTATTTTTTTCTATAACCACATTTAATAATAAATTGGCGAAAGTATACAATATTGTAATTAAACAAAATTTTATTTATTTGTAAAAAGACTTTTAATAGTAAAGGGGCGAAAATATACTATATCATACTTAAAACAAAAGTACAATGTTTTATAATACAAATACTTTTACTAAAAAATATATAATAAGTCGACCTCCCTACAAAAACTTATGAGAAAAAATATATATCTTATTGCATGA